TTGAGACACAGACATAAAAGGAAGATGGAATGTGAAGATGGAGACAGAGATCAGAGTTACGCTGGAGTTAAGCATGGACTGGAGCCATCCAAGTGTAATAATGTGTTATGGCAGTCCTAGAAAATTAATACAACTCATTAATATATTAATTCTCTTACCAGATGTATTGTAATAGGCCATTTATCCATTTATTCCCAAGGCTCAGTACCAGTCGCGGTGCAAATGTTAATAAGAATGGATCTTTATACTCTCATAGAAGTGTATTAATCAGAATTCTTTTAGGTATAGTTAACAAAAGACCAGGAGTCCCTGGGTAGCCCAAATGGTTAAGTGCTCAGCTACTAACCAAAAGGTTGCTGGTTCGAACCCACTCAGAGGTGCCTTGGAAGAAAGGCCTGGTGATCTGCTTCTGAAACGCCACAGCCATGAAAACCCTATGGAGCACAGTTCTACTCAGAAATGTTTGGGGTCACCATGAGTTAGATTCAACTCCACAGCAACTAGTTTGGTTTAGTAACAAAAGACTAACTGAAATGTATTGTATATACCCCTAACTGGGGAATCCAAAAGGTGGCGCAAACTCTATTTCTACATAGAACTAGACTTCTCTCTCTTATTTCTCAGTTTTGCTGGCCTCTGCCTGACTTCATCTTCAGACAGGTTCTCTCCACATGATGGCATGTCCTAACAGTTCCAGGCCTACATGCTCCTTAGAGTTTACAAACCCAGAGAAGAAAAGACCTTCTCAGTTCCAGAGTTCACATGTCAAGACTGATGGGAAAAGTACGTTTGGGCCTGCCTGGGTGAATGGTCAATGGGGCAGGGAGATAGAGTTCCCTGATCAGCAAGCCCTGTTCACGCCCACATCTGCTATTAACATTAACACCAGAATCATGTAAGGTCCAGAAAAAAAACCAGTTGCATTTGAATCGATTCCGACTCAGGGCAACCCCATGTAGGGTCAGGGAAGGGCATTTCTGCAAGAAATAGAGGGGTGCTGGTCAGACGAAGCAACAGATATCCACTGAAGAACAGAAAAGATGCATATTCAAAGAATTTGTCAAAAACCAGGTTATATTTAGACAGCTCTTCTAGGTTAATATGTTGCCTCAGACTAATTTTTTTCATAAGAGTAGAATGTGTAACTTACCTGAACCTCTTCTCAAACTTTGAAAACTTCCCCCCCCGTGAAAGCCTAAAACAAAGTTTCCTTTGGTATTTCAAGAGTTTCTTACTAAAAACAAGGTCCTGCAGGAAACACATTGTATAATGGTACATAGATGTGAGTGGAGATGAGGTCATACATCTATGGGTTAACCCCAATAAAAGACAAGTGCTAGAGTGTTAACATTAAAACGATGTAACAGTGAAAGTAGGAAAGACTGGTAGAAAGGCTACAAAAATGGAAGGAAAACAAAGTCAATGTAGTCAAGACAGCAATTTGAAATGCCAGATTTGGGAAGACTTATGGGAAGCCCTTGCCAAGCCAAAAAAGGAAGGAACCTAATGTTGGAATAGCTACTGTGTCTAAAACATTGTGCTAGATGCTTTTACTCATACCACTTAACACAGAGTAGTTATAATTTCCAAACTAAAGATACAGAAACTAAAGCCCAGAAAGATTAACTCACCCAAAGTCCATTTGGGGTTAACTCTATCTTAAGTCATAGTCCATTCTGTTTCCACTACCAAGCTGCCTTCCAGGGAAGGATAGACAATTTCAATAAAGGAAGGCCTATGTTATTGCTAGGAGCCATGGTGGCACAAATGGTTAAGCGCTCAGCTGCTAATCGAAAGGCTGGTGGTTTGAACCCATCCAGTGACTCCACAGGAGAAATGACCTGGCAATCTGCTTCTGTAAAGATTACAGCCTAGGAAACCCTATTGGGCAGTTCTACTCTGTCATACAGGGTCACTGTGAGTCAGAATCAACTCAACGGCACACAACAACACATCATTTTTGAAGGAAAAGGGAAATTACTAAATGCTTGCTGAGAGAACCCAAGGATTTAAATGATGAACGTAACAGCCAGGAATTCTGGTATAAAATTCTATACTAGCAACGTGAACTTACGTTGTTAAAGAGCTTAAATGGCCTGTACCCTGTAATCCCCTTGCATGTGGACATAGTTCCTGCCCTCTTTCCTCCTTCTTCACAACTCCTCTCTTCACAGTTCCTGTCTCCATGTTGCGCTCATTCCCATCTCAGTTTTCGCACACCTTGCTCCTTCTGCTTGAAACACTTTTCCTTCTCCCCAGATGAAATCACGGCAAGCCTCCTTCTCATTACTATTTACTTAATTAACCTGTCACCTCTACAAAGTGACCTCTTCCTGCAACCACCCCTATTAAAATAGCATTCCCATTCCCAAACAGCACTTATCAGTGAGTAAAATGGTTTTTATTTGTTTGTCTCCTCTGAAGAGAACATAAATTCCTTGAACGCAAGGATGTCGTCCACCCCGTTTCTCCTGTCCCTGAATTATTCTTGGGACATAGTAGGCCCTCTATAAATACTTACTGAGTACATGGATATCAAGAGGTACAAGTTGAGACTACAACGTATTACTGGTAGAAAAAACATGTGAGTAGAGATAAAAGAATTATAATCAAGCCTGTGTAGAAGTTATAGTACCTGCCACCTCAAAAGCAAAAGGAAACAAAATAATATGCAAATACGTAAACAGCACTTACTCCACGCCAGGCCTTGTTCCAAGCCTTTTACATATGTTGTTACTGCCTGCGGTTGAGTCCATGCCAACTCATAAAACTGTTGCCGTGGAGTGAATCCTTACTCGTATGGACCTCATAGGACAAAGTAGAACTGCCCCATAGGGTTTCCAAGGCTGTAATCGTTACCAAAGGAGACTGCCAACCTTTCAGTTAGCAGCAGAGCGCTTTACCACTGTGCCACCAGGGCTTCTGTTGCACCACCAAGGCTCATTATTTTATGCGTATTAACTAGCTTTTTTTCACCACCCATTTCTCAGTTTGTTGTACTGTGGTGGCTTGCATATTGCTGTGATGGTGTAAGCTACGCCACTCGTGTTTCACATACCATTAGTATCTTGAAACTGGTGTTTTAAAAACCTGTCCACGGCGGACAGGTTTCAACTGAACTTCTAAACTGTCTTAGGCTGGGTTCTCTAGAGAAGCAAAACCAGTAAAGTATATAAATATATACATAGAGAGATATTATACCAAGAAAACAGCTCACACGATTGTAGAGGCTAGAACGTCCCAAGTCTGTGGATCAGGGTAGAGGCCTCTCCCAAGTCACAAAGCTGCAGAAGCTGGCAAGCCCAAGATTGGAAGGTCAGAGAGCACGGCTCCCACTCACAGGCCATGAAGATGGATGAACCCCAGGTTCGGCAGATAAACTGACAGCTTAAGTCCCAAGGACGGGAGATGAGAGGACAGGAAGCAGACTCAGGATCCAGAGAGAGCAAAAAACCAGAAGTCTGCTTACATACAGATGCAGGCCACACCCCCAAGGAGAATCCCTTTCATCTGATTGGCTACTCACAGTATATTCAATCATGGGAGTGATTACATTAAAACACTGAGCATCATGGCCCAGCTAAGCTGACACACAATCTTAACCATCATACAAATCAAGCCAGACTAGGAAGAAAGGCCTGTCAATCTACTTCCAAAAATTAGCCAGTGAAAACCTTATGGATCACAAGAGAACATTGTTCAACTCACTTGCTTTGGACATATCATTAGGAGGGAACAATCGCTGGAAGAGGAAACCGTGTTTGGTAAATGCGGAGGCCAAAGAGGGCGAGAGACACCCTGGATGAGGCGGATTCACACCATAGCTGCAATGGACTGAATCAAGCTCCCGATGGTGAGGATGATGCAGAACCACGCACGCAGCTTTTTCTTCTCTTGTACAAAGGGTCATCATGAGTTGGAGTCAACTCCACGGCAGCTACCTATCTACTTATCCATCTTCCCTAACTTGTTTTTATCCCTCACAATAAATTGGTTTATTGTCCCTAATTTGGAGACTAGGAAAGTGAGGCACATAAATTAAGTAACTTGCTCAGTGTCACAGAACTAGTCAATGGCACAGCCAGAATTCTAATGCAGGCAGTTTGGAGTTCCTGCTTTTAACTACTACTTGATATTCCCCCTCCAAAAAAGTTGAGTAGTTTGTAGCACAGAACCACTAAGGTTCCTCTATGCCCATAAAAATAAGTCTACCGGCTTAAAGTAACTTGAAACAGTAAGAAATAAATAATAAATTTAATTTCAGTCAGTAGTTCTAACACCATTAGTTACAGGTGGGAACGTTCTCAATTGTCAACTTCTCAACTTTCTTCTCCCCATCCCACACCCATTTCCCCTCATTCCAGCGTTTCTCTTTTTTAATTTGGCTTCAAGCTCTGCCTCTGCGGCTTTGGAGTAAGCAAATCTCAGCGTCCTCATCTGTAAAATTCCATTAACTGTTTAGCCTACCCCGCTGGAATTGAGGAAAGAGCGAATTGTGAGAGCGCTATACTAACATTAGTTAATAGCACTCGGCTGCTTATTGTTTGTGTCCTTTTCTCCCCAGAAATGTACAGTAAAAGAGATAGATCTTCCTGTTCAGATTCAGAAACACATCCCTTCCCAAGCACCTCAGCTGCTCCGAATCCACTTTGCCTGCCCCAACCTTGCTCTGAGTCTGCGCACTAGTGACGTCTTGCTCGTTTTCCCACCGTCAGCCGCCGCGCCTTGATTACGCAAATTTCCGGCGCGGCAGAGCGAGCTGGGTGCTTGTGAAGGAGAGCAGGTTACGCTTTCTCCACCGATACACTTGTTGGAGCGGCCCGCAAGCCGCCACATCATGAAGGAAACGCCACTCTCGAACTGCGAGCGCCGCTTCCTGCTCCGCGCCATCGAAGAGAAGAAGGTAAGAGGCCCCCAGAGACCTGCGTGCTGCAGGAGCGTTCTGGTCGCACGGCCGACCTCAGCCTTCCTGCCTAGACGCGCAGACCTGACAGGCGCTGGCTCGGGATCCCCCAAGGGGAATGGCCGGTGCGTTCTCTCCACTCCCAGACGTTTTTCTGCCTGGACTCGTTGTTTGCAAGACTTGTGTCACCCTAGCTACTGTCAGTGCCTGGGCGCCTAGTTTACACTTTTCCATGGGGGTGGAGTAGTTTATTTTGGTTTGGTTTATGGAAGTGGAGTAGTAAGGATCTCACCACTTTCATCCAAATGCTTAGGCCAGGCCTTGGCATATAGTGGTTGCTCAGTAAATCTTTGTTGAAGGAATAAATGAACAAATGTTGTGTTTACAGCGGCTGGATGGCAGACAAACCTATGATTATAGGAACATCAAGATATCATTTGGAACAGATTATGGCTGCTGTATTGTGGAACTTGGGAAAACAAGGTAACAATTCAAATTAGATGTAAGTTCAATAAAGAGCAGTTTATAAAGAACTTTGACTCAGTGTTTACAGAGCAATGGAAGTCTGGACAGTACGTTGTTAGATGCCAAAAATAAGTATATTTTCTTTAATACAAGATTTTTAGGTTTTATGGTCGTTTTATTTTTGAATCATAAATGTATTTTCTGTCACATGAGTGTCACATCGTTCTTTTTGACCTCTGTAAATTATATAGACAACCAGCAGTGATTACACAGAATTTGTTTTGGACCCTGCAGTGGCCACCTTTTTTTTCCACGTTCTATTGTGAGTAATGTAATGTAGAGATCCTTAGGGATCCTAAAACCAAACCCACTGCCGTCAATCCTAAGTGGGTCCCATTTTCCTTTTTCTTGCATGACCTGAGAATTAGGTTTTTATTTTCGTTTGCAAGTAGTGAGTATCTTTTGTCAGATAAGCTTAGCGAACTGTGCCGTATGAAAATTTTTAAGGAATCTCAAGTTTTCGTGCTATCTTGAATCAAAAAACTAGAAGTAGAAATAAAGATAATTGATTTTTTTTTAAGCAGTTTTAAAAAATCTATGGCATTGTAACTATTGTTATAAGAAGAGGGTGTTTTCTTTTGTTGTTATCCCTTTGGCTGTACCAATATGGGTTTTATTTTTGCATATATTTTACTACTAGAGATGTAATTTTTACCTTTTATGGTACATCAAGCCGAGCACATTATTACTCAGATAAGATTGAAATTTAATTGGTATCTGTTTTAAATTTCATTTCTTTTTTTAATTGGAAAGGAAGTATTTTCATTTCTTTTCTTAATTGGAAAGGAAATATGTTTCTTTAACGCATTTGTACCCTTTATTTTTGCAGAGTTCTTGGACAAGTTTCCTGTGAACTTGTTTCTCCAAAACTCAATAGGGCAACAGAAGGTATTCTTTTTTTTAACCTTGAACTGTCTCAGATGGCTGCCCCAGCTTTTGAGCCTGGCAGGTATTTAAAACTTTTTCTTAAGCTGCTTTAGCTAGAGGGAAACCTAATAGCAGTGAGCTGTTGTTTTAATGCCTGATATTATATTTCATGACATTAGTCCATTCCTATTTTCATAGGCAGTCAGATCTCTTGGTGAAGTTGAACCGACTCTTGGAAAGATGTCTAAGAAATTCGAAGTGTATAGACACCGAATCTCTCTGTGTTGTTGCTGGTGAAAAGGTGGGAAATATGCCCCAAATTCCTAACCTTTGGATGAATATTGTTGATTGATGGGATCCTGTATCTATACCTTCATGTTCAGAGCTTTAGTTAATTCAGTTTGTACTGGTTCACTTTACTGAAAATGCTCCCAAGTGTTCTCTGGAAAGCCTTTTGTTATCTCTTTCTGAAGGGACAAAATCATTGTCTTTAAAAGGGAGTTGTTTCGTTCAAAGAACTTGTGGCTTTTTCATATCCTTTCTCATTTATTTTCTTATGATATTTAAGTGTGTGAATAGGAGCACATAGTGTTCTCCTTTTTTATGGATGGAGAAATGAAGAATGGCTAAAATCCTTCATTTGGATACATTTATTGATTTACACAGACCATACGGTGAGTCAGTGGTAGGGCAGGGGCTAGAAATGCTAGTCTCAGTAAATTGAGCTGTATGGTGATTTGAGAACTTTATTCTTGATTCGGGTATTTTGACCAGCTTTTTGACTCCAGAAAAGTCACTTTAGCCTTTCTCTTTCCACATTCCATACTTGAATACGTTATTTCCAGCTATTTTCATTATTTGTAAGGTTATCATAAATGGTATCGAATAAAACCTAAGAGTTTGAGGTTCTTAACTTAGGAAACACTGTAAAAAGATAATTTGGCTTGGAGTTTGGAAAATCTTAGCTTACAAATAGAGTGATTCAATTCATTTAGACTATGTATTTTAATGTCAAATGACTTACATAGAAAGGTGACCTATTAGTATCTCAGATGTTTGTCTGGCTTAATATTTTTTAAAATACATGTTTATTGATAAAATGGAAGGGGTGAATGTATTGCTTTTCCTGATAAGTAGGTGCTGGTTGTGATCAGTTAGGATTTTTTATTTTGTTTTAAATTTACTTTCAGGTTTGGCAAATACGTGTGGACTTACATTTATTAAATCATGATGGAAATATTATTGATGCTGCCAGCATTGCTGCAATTGTGGCCTTATGTCACTTCCGAAGACCTGATGTGTCGGTCCAAGGAGATGAAGTAACGCTGGTAAGCTCCCGTAATGTGAGCCAGGCTCCTTCATATAAGTGAATGAGTATCCTGGATGTGACGGCAGCTGCTGTTAGTGAAGTCAGGTCCTAGATAGCAATTAGGTTCTCAAATTGTTCATAAGACAAAAACTGCATGTGGTCAGAATTGCCCTTGGGATCTCTTAAATCTCCTGTACTGAGGTATCTGTCAGTAAAAATGCAGCCTAGTCAAGCATTCCAGAGTAAAACTAGACGGCTACTTCTTTGAATCAAGCATTCAATGAACTAGTTGGCTTCTGTTGAGGGGCCACACATGCAAAAGATGTACAGTTTCCAGCACAGTGAGATGCTTACCTTGTCAGAGGCATGCAGTAACAGAAATGGACTGAGGAATCAGCAGATTCTCATCTCTCTCCAGGACTTTTGTTCATTAAGCGGAATAGATGGCAGAAGTCATCTCCAGAGTAGGCCTGTTACAGAGTTTCCAGGTAATGCTGATCCTGGTTGTCCAGGGACCACATTTTGAAAACCACTGACCTTTATATAAGTTACATTCTAGCATAATAAAAGTGTACTGTGGTGGTAGTTCGAGTTTTAAAGTTGTAAAAGGAAACCTCAGTTGCCCAGATTCTCTAAGCAATTGTTCATGATGCTGCTTCTAGGCATTAGACTGGAGCAAACTCTTTAAAGACTTAGGTAGGGACAAAAGGCTCATTAACAGCAGAGACATGTTCTTTTATTTGTTTATTTTATTGAAGTTAGATGAAGGTTTACAGAACAAACTAGCTTCTCATTAAATAGTACATATATTGTTTTATGACATTAGTTAACAACCCTATGACATGTCAGTACTCCCCCTTCTCGACCTTGGGTTCCCTATTACCAGCTTTCCTGTCCCCTCCTGCCTTCTAGTCCTTCCCCCTGGGCTGGTGTGCCTCTTTAGTCTCATTTTGTCCTATGGGCCTGTCTAATCTTTGGCTAAAAGGTGAGCCTCCAGAGTGACTTTGTTACTGGGCTAAAAGGGTGTCCGGGGGCCATATTCTCGGGGTTTCTCCAGTCTCTGTCAGGCCAGTAAGTGTGGTCTTTTTTTGAGTTAGAATTTTCTTCTACATCTTTCTCCAGCTGTGTCCGGGACCGTCTGTTGTGATCCCTGTCTGAGCAGTCAGTGGTGGTAGGGGGCACCGTCTAGTCATAGTGGACTCAGTCTGGTTGAAGCCATGGTAGTTGTGGTCTGTTAGTTCTATGGACTGATCTCTCCCTTTTGTCTTTTGTTTTCTTCATTTTCCCTTGCTCCCGAAGGGGTGAGACCAGTGGAGTATCTTAGATGGCCGCTCACAGGCTTTTAAGACCCCAGACACTACTCACAAAAGTAGAATGTAGATCATTTTCATTATAAATTATGTTATGCCAATTGAGCTGGATGATCCCTGAGACCATGGTCCTCACAGCCCTCAGCCCAGTAATGCAGTCCTTAAGGGAGTTTGGATTTGTCCATGGAGCTTCCACGATCTTACCCTGAACAAGTTGTGCTCGCTTCCCCAGTATTGTGTACTCTCTTCCCCTTCACCAGAGTTACCACTTATCTATTGTCTGTTTAGTGTTTTTCCACCCCAACCCCTCCCCTCCCTCATAACAGTCAAAGATTGTTTGTTTTTGTGTGTAAACCTTTTCATGAGTTTTTACAGTAGTAGTCTCATACAGTATTTGTCCTTTTGTAATTGACTTAGTTCACTCAGCATAATGCCCTCCAGATTCATCCCTGTTGTGAGATGCTTCGCAGATTCATCATTGTTCTTTGTTGTTGGGTAGTATTCCATTGTGTGTATGTACCATAGTTTGTTTATCCGTTGATCTGTTGATGGGCATCTAGGTTGTTGACATCTTTTTGCTATTGTGAACAATGCTGCGGTGAACATGGGTATGCATATGTCTATTCATGTGATGGCTCTTATTTCTGTAGGATATATTCCTAGGAGCGGGATTGCTGGATTGTATGTTATTTCTATTTTTAGCTTTCTAAGGAAGTGCCATATTGTTTTCCAAAATGGTTGTATCATTTTGCCTTCCCACCAGCAGTGCATAAGAGTTCCAATCTCTCCGAAGCCTCTCCAACATTTGTTATTTTCTGTTTTTTTGATTCGTGCCAGTTATGCCAGGGTGAGATGCTATTTCATTGTGGTTTTGATTTGCATTTCTCTAACGGCTAGTGATTCGTGAGCATTTCCTCATGGGTCTGTTAGCTGCTTGAGTGTCGTCTTTGGTGAAGTGTCTGTTCATTTCCTTGGCCCATTTTTTAATTGGATTTATTTGTCTTTTTGTTGTAGAGGTGTTGGATTTTCCTGTAGATTTTAGAGATTAGACCTTTGTTGGATTTGTAATACCCAAAAGTTTTTTTCCCAGTCTTTAGGTTCTCTTTTTACTCTTTTGGTGAAGTCTTTTGATGAGCGTAAGTGTTTAATTTTTAGATCCCAGTTATCTGGCTTATCTTCTGGAGTTTGTACGTTGTTAGTTATGGTTTGTATCTTGTTAATGCCCTGTATTAGGGTCTCTAGCGTTGATCCTATTTTTCTTCTATGATCTTTATAGTTTTTGGTTTTATATTTAGATCTTTGATCCATTTTGAATTAGTTTTTGTATATGGTGTGAGGTATGGGTCCTGTTTCATTGTTTTGCAGATGGGCGTCCAGTTTTGCTAGCATCATATGATAAAAAGACTGTCTTTTCCCCATTTGATGAACTTTGGGCCCTTGTCGAAGATCAGATGACCGTAGGTGGATGGATTTACATTTGGGTTCTCGATTCTGTTCCACTGGTCAGTGTATCTGTCATTGTACCAGTACCAGGCTGTTTTGACTACCGTAGCTGTATAGTAGGTTTGGAGGTCAGGTAGTGTGAGTCCTATTCTTCTTCTTCAGTA